AGGAAATTGTACGAAAATCAACTGTAAATTTAAAGGAAAAGAGGAGTTCCTTGACCACGACAATTATTTAATAGGATAGAAGTAACTGCAAACCTTGCTGCAAATGATACCACACCTAAAACATTAAAAGGCAGAGTGCATGATAGGAATGGGAATGCATAATATCTGCTCTTATATTTCTAGTATTGCTGTATCACGACGGTGGAATGCTTCGGATATCTTGCTGCTGGAACAGTCGCTCTTCGCAATAGAGTAACGGTAAAGGGAAATTAAGCAGTCATACTTCGTGCAGCGTAAGCCATTTACCACCAGATGACAATGATTTGCTAATTTTAGGTTGGATATCGTTTGGAAGCAACCTTTGATGAAATGCTAAAAGATTATACCGCGCCAAAAGCTTCTGATGAAGTCGTCCACAAATTGCACACAATCCAGGCAGTCGTAAGGCAAATATGATCGAGTTCTCACACATTACAAACAAATTTTAGCTGCGCTGTTGTGGCAAAAACGGAGGGCAGGATTTTGTGCAAATGGAAAGGCCCCACTCCTGTGTCCGAGCTGTCTCGCAATATGTAAGAGATGCATCAAGGACAGCATATCCACGCAAACTAATCCCACTTCGCACAAGACAAAAGTTCATTGGCTTAAACATCTTGTAAAACTGCTTAAGCGAAATCGGTACGACAGCGATAAATAATGCAAAGAAGGAGAATTATAAAAGAGAAATCTACTGGATGCCGAAATATGTCGAAACAAGGTGGACATTTAATTGCACTCCCCATAATTTTGCAAGTTTGTAGACTTAGCAACAACTAATGGAGATGCCTTTACAGAGTTTCAAAAAGTTTTCAAATATTTCCAAGATCGATTGTTAGAAATTTATTTATTTCTACCTAGGGTTGCCTAAGGGCAGCGTTCAACCTTATGGCCACCGAGCTCTACAATCAGTCGTGCGTGGGATTCGCGGGAGCATTTTTGCTGGTACCGTAGGCTTTAATTGCGGAGTTCACGAGCGCTGATGATATAATTTGCTCGCATACTTGACTGCACCTCTCTAAAGTTATTTTCGCTTTTCCCAGCAGCCTCGTTACTGACATCTCTTCACAACGAATCATGATTGAACATCAGCGAGTGGCTCATTGACATTCGAGTCGTAAATGAAAGAGAACTTACAACCATTAACGCAAAGGGAACCAGCAATCAAAATTTACCCGCTTTTCCTGTGCAAATTTACAAGATGGAGAAAATTCTAAAAAGCCAAACATTAAATAAATAAATAAACCAATGCATATTAAACTTACCGTATTATCCAGTGACTTAGCTATATCCGCAGCTGTGTTTTTCTTCTAAAAAACAAAAAAAAAACAACAGATTTTTCATATTTTGCTTGGTGAGGCTATGCTCCGATATTTTGCGCATCTAACTTTTGGCAGTGAGATTTTTAGATCTTCGAGGCATTGAGGTTGGGTCCAGGAGCGGGGGATTAGATTAAAACGTGAGGCTGAGCAATGGCTTGGGATGCGTGCTAAGTTATCCAAGTGAACTCTCCGTGCATTGTCAAGCTTATGGGATGGGAATGCGCTGCCAAGGAGTTAAAGTAAACTGCGAGACTACAAACAGTTTTGACGAAAGAAGGACTGCGAACAATGTTTGGTAAAGGAATGTATTTTTCAAAATCTCTATGATTTGTATTGCTCGCAGTTATACTTTTATTTACCAGTGATCTTATAGACCAATTAGGAAGTATTATTTTAAATGATATTGGAATATGTTAAGAACCTCCTTTACATTGTTGCGAATGGAAAGATCGGCTCCATGTTGAAGAAGGACTTTTGCTAAATCCGCGTGATTTCGATGGAAGGCACAGTGAATCAACGCCGTTTGTCCAAATTTGTCTTGCTGGTTTACTTTGGCCCCACACTCTATGAGGGTGTCACCAACTTTGGGGTTGCCATTGTTAGCTAGGCAGGCTAGCATTGAGGAAGACGCTTTATAGTTGTTCATAGGCAGTGGAATCATGACTCGAATAACCGAAGACATGAGAGCTCGCCACGTTGGTAATTATGGTACCTGTCTCAGGGAAATGGCTTAACTTAAAAGTAACTGCTGCATGATTCTGAAGTTGCATTTTTGTTAGGTGCAAATGTCTGCAAAATTCCTGTTCTCACTACTGGTAGCAGACGATTTTTTATAATGACGAGCGTAAGGGGCAACGGCGACGTACCCAAGCGGATGAGGGGTGTGTAGCCATTGTCCGACTCACAGTGATTCACATCCGCTCCAGCGCGCACTAGCGCTCGAACCACGTTGCTAAACTCACCATCCACTGCGTAGAACAGAGCTGTCATTCCATGGATATCCTATCAAACATAGACCAGGCAATCTTCTATCTTATTTTCCGAAAGAACTTAATAATATCAGACACATTATGAAAGGAGATAAAACATTTACAACACATTGCGCTGATTAAAAGGCTCATCAGTTAGATTCGTGAGATAACCCTTTTGGTGCTCCCATGAAATCTGTCATGTTGACTATAAAATAAATTGCAACTGAGATAGTAATATTTCTTTTGGAAAGAGGGAGCAAATTATTCCAAGGATTTTTAGAAAAGTGAATCAGTAGTTGGGAACGGACATTTGGGAGAGTTTATGCGTAACTTTTCATCGGACTGTTGAGGAGCCGCCGAATGTCACGGCAGTGGTAAGAGCTGGGTGCACAGGATGTAGCTTTCTACTGAGTCGCTAGTGTACAAATGAGTTTAGTGTATTGTTGTGTGAAATTGCACAGCATGTAAGCTGGACGAAGGTCGTGCAGAGTTTACACACGTGTCCTTACGAGGGACACAGCGGTTGTATCACCACGTAATTATAACAAAGTCGCGCAAATACAATGAAGAAATCGTCTCAAAAACAAGTCTACTTTGAAAGGGTTTGGGGGAAAATAAGCATAGTTTTTGCAATGACGCCAACCAAAATTAGAGAAAAGGGTCAGTACAAGGAGAGAAATTAGTTTCTTACAAGTTAGATTTCACTTACCCTAGCATTTACATTGGCACCTTTCTTGATCAAAATGTCAACGATGTCAATGTAACCTTTGTTAGAAGCTAACATCAAAGCTGTCCGACCAAGCTTGTTTGCTGTGTTGACGTTTGCTCCATAGCTCAAAAGAATTCTTATGATACTAGACACCGGAAATCGCAAATGTAGACAAGTTGAAGCATTTTTGTAAAGTTCTGACGCAATGTAAGTGCTTTAATAGCGTCAAGTAGTATTTTCAAGTCAGAATGCACAAATAATGCTCAAGATCAGGTGCTTGCAAGTTAAAAATAGGACTCATTTTGTGTTTTATCTATGCAAAACAACATTTCAACAACTGGCGGCATAAGCATCAATTGAGCTTTATTTATAAAGTAAGTGCGCTTACACCTTGTTGTTTCGACTGACAGCAGCCATCAAAGGGGTGTAATCCATCTGATCTGTGAACTCTATCTTGGCATTGCTAAATAGTAATAGCAAAAAGGGAACGATGACGAAGATTTGCGCTATCTGCTGGTATGAGCAACGTGCTCAAGACTGCCAGTCAAACATATTGTCCCATTTCCTCAATTCAAACCCATCAGCATACTTGCATGCATGTGCCTGTTAAGTCCGCTTCATCCGTTTCTGTGCAGACAATTGTTAGAGCACAACAAAAGCAAGTGCTACTGCCTACACAGAGTGCCCAGTGAAACATAGCCCGTGCGTCAATGTTTAGTGACCGTCTTGACAAATAAAACCTCATTTTCTCACCTAATTTCTTAAGCGAAATTCGAACTAACGTGAGCAACACAAACCGCCATGTCGACGCGTTTTCTGGGTATAATTTAGCCGACAAAATAATAAGGTTGGTTCCGATAAGGATTTGGAAACTAGATTGCCAACTGTGACGAAGTAAAATTATTGCCTTTTGCTTTTGTCAATATTAGGTAGCAAAATAAATCGTAACAGTTGTTAAGTGGTAAGGCTTGAAGCAAATCTTGTGGAATTTGGGAGCATTTTGTGTGCGAATGATGGCGCATAGGCCTTGTGGCATACTCCAATCAACGATAACATAGCGCCAGGCAGGAACTTTGTGAAACAAGCAAAAAATCTTATCAATGAAAGGCACCAGACACGACAACAATGTGCACTCTTAGCGCAAAGTGCAGCTAAGTAAATACTGTAACTTATTTAAGCTTGTCAAGTTTCAAATTGCGTCTATGAAATCCATGAACTTGCGCTAACTGTTAACCCTCACAAAAAATAGCTTGCCTTTCAGAGAGCATTGCATTTAAAGCATCAATATCCTCGAATTTGATTGCTTTGTGTAGATCGAAAGCCGTTACTGGTTCAGAGGGCGTTTCAAACAATTCCGAGTTTCCATATGGTCCATAATTTTCATCGCACTTGAAGCGCAGTCGCATTTCATATTCGGTCGACCCTTGCAATTCTTCATAAATGCAATAGCTACCTTTTCCCCTTTATGGTTAGCACTTTATCTGATTAAATTAACCTTACAAATAAATTCTATCCCAGGTTTTTGAAGCGACGGGCTTCAATGTTACTTCCATTGCAACATTCATGCCCTGCTCTTCCAGTTCCTCCAAACACTCATACCAATCGATTTTGACAGTGTGGAAATCTGGAACACTGATGTAAGGAAAAGGAGGATACAGTTCTGCAACATCTAATTTTTTCATTTAACACAACACACTGCTGTCCTCTCTGTCTCACACACTCACAAACAATTTAAAGTGTAGCCTATTGATTCCATCTGTCTGCAGTGGTTAAGCTTCCGAGGTGGAGTCGGACGCCTGCCTGTAATGTGTCTAGAAGTAAAAATCTTTTATTTTACTTTATCAGATTCTAACTTTTTTAAATGCTGTTGTGTGAAAGATTTTTGGGGGTTGTGTATGCTATAGTGAAGTAGTCGTGAATTGAAGACTGTGAAAATGTATTGCAACTATTCACTTTCGAGAGGAACTTCATTCCTACATTTCGCGCAGAAGTGGCTTCTTGAACAGTGAACTAACGGACGATTGAGACACCATCTTTTAGGAGCATTAATTCAGCCACTTTTTCGTGGAGGGAGCCTTAAATGCGTTTCACGAGTGTCATCTAGGTAGCCTGCAGAGTACAAGTTTTAGTGTCCTCACTAGAAGATTGGTTGGTCAACATATTCTGCGCAACGCTATTTGTGCCGAGAGGTTTAAAAGACCCAGAATTTCGCAAATCGTTTCCAACTATTGATAAGGACTTTTGGCTCCGTGTGCTCCAATTTTAGGAAGTCTCGGGATGCTACATGGAATTCCGTTTTAGCTCCATTTTTTGGTGGAATTTAGTGTTTTATTATTGATGGGGTTTGGGTAAAGAGGCCTGTCATCCACATTGTTGGCTTTTACTGGTAATTAGCTTAGATCTACACTTGCGTGTCATTTTGTAGATCACCAGATAAAGCTTAACGGCAGAGAACTCTGCTCACTACTCTCCTGACATAAAAACACTGACGAACGCGATACATAGTGAATAAGTCCCATTTTATTCAACTCCATCCTCTTAATCATATCAACACCTTCTACACTTCATCTCATTTTGCACAATCTATCATATTTTTGCTAGCCACGACTTTTGGAGATGACTAGAGCATAACTGAAGAAGCTACAGAAGCTACTCAACATTTGTTAACTTTTAAACTCCTCCAATCCTCAATAACTGGTACTCTGACTTACTATGACAGCGAAGTCTATGCAACTTAAATACGCATCATCAGTATCGCTTCAAGGATTCCTTTTCATACCTATTTCTAGACAGTAAACAAATAGTGAGAGCAGCAAAATAACAGTTCTTTAACAAATTTGATAGTGCACCACGGATTTCCATGTCCATCTGATGAAATTTGATTCCCCAAGGAATACAATGGAGACCATATTAATTTCAGTCAGTGCTACCGCTGTAACATCTCGCGACTTCCATGGGTGCAGGTTTTGCTTACGTTAGTTAGCTCGTCATGTCGTTTTCGCCATAGAAACTAAACTCTGAATCATGCTAGCAGCCCTTAATTCTTCCTGAACACCAAGTCTTTTTGCTTCCCTGAATGAGTGGTCTTCCATTACCTTCAAGGATTTAATACATTGATGACGAACAAGGTGCAGAGCACGAACTTTTTTAAGGTTAAGACTGAATGAGGCGGAGTCGACTCCACCTCACAATACTCAATTTTATGAAACTCAGTGATAAAATGGCTTTGTGGCATACGGCGATAGACAATTTTAGTCAGGGACACTTACACTCCTCGAATTTTGTGGTACAAATTGCTCATTCATTAGAAACATTAATGTTGTTCTAGTAAAAATTTTCAATCAGCATAAAACTTGTTAAGTTCCCCATTGGAGACATTGTGATAAAAATGCTATTAAATTGCCACGTTGTGCTTTGCGGTTGGCAAGACTTATTTGACATTGTGCGGGGTGATTGACAGGCTCAATGTCCACGTTGTTGAAACACTGACTCTGTCAGTTGGGACCTTTCTCGTAAACTACCAGAGTTAGCTCATTGTGGTTCACCTGCAATAGTGACCGTCAAAATGGAAGCAGTATACCGCTTGTATTTTGCGAAGTAATCTGGGAACGGAGCATTTTTGTTGGGGTAGCAAATAAAAGCATAAGTTATAATGTACAATGCTTTTAGTGCGAATTGCTTCACAACCGGTCTTCATGTTCCGATACTTCAGAACGTGAATAAATCCCTTAATATTAAGGAAATTTGAGTGTAATCAACTATTTACTTGCAGAAGGTCCAAGCAAAGTAAAGTGACATTAAAGAAAGCGAGGTAGAAGATATATGCGCCTCATTTACCGCACTCTTGCAACTTGGCGAGGTGGACTTTACAGGCGTTTGCAGTGGCCACCATGGTATAAGGACTGTAAAGACTAGTTGTACTCTTTTGTGGCGCTAAACTCTTCACTAACGAGAAACTGGAATGGTCCACCGAAGGTGATTGCTTGACGTCTCTTCTGCTTCCTAATCGCCTTTGATATTCTTTAGAACCTTGGCAATTATCTTGGCACAATTTGCTGGAAGGGCGACTCATACCGAATTGTAAGTCGGTTGCAACAGAGTTTCATAATAATTATTTTTTTCCAGTGTTTGAAATTGCTATAAGAATTGTAATTTGACGAGCTTAAAGGCACTTTGTACGCTTTTCTTATATGGTTTCCTGATTTCAAAATTTGGTCTTGTGTATCCAGCCACTGGAAGGCGAATTCGATAGAACAGACAATCTACTTCTGTTTATTTCTTCTTGTTGACCCTCATTATGGAGTGTTCTTGGCACCTCAGGCTGCACGAAATAGAATAGCTAGATGAAAAGAGTTTATTTTTGCTTTGTTGATGTTCACAACTCATCGGCGTTGATCCACTTTGAGGTCTGGAGCTAAGTGAACAGAGCGATTTTGGCGAAGCCTTTACTTTGCGATGTATTTGGTTCATCTGATTCTCTGATCTTGATTTTTGCTGATTTACCGTTTCGCGTGACCTCGGTGAAGAGGAGGGCGATTTCTCACTTTGCATCACCATTTTATTACGCCGCAATGTCAATTGTCCTTTTTGAGTTTGGGATGCCCGTTGGTGTTTTATGGTCGCGGAGGGTGGAGATGTGCTTCGGGATGTTAACAGCACATTCAAAGTACTTTTTGTGATTATTGTCTCGATTTTTTGTGCTTTTGTACCGTGACAACGCTGACTCTCTGCGGAATTCTTCATTGGCGATGACGAGGCCGTTTCTAAATCATTATGTTCGCCAGCAATGTGAATAGCGTTGGGCATCAGATATCGCTGTTTCGTAGAAGTAGACGAAGTTTGGTGCGAGAGGACAGAAGAGAGTGGCAACGGAAATGCCATTGTAGCACTTGACACTTGTTGTGTTACAAGAACTTCGCGCATTCATCTTCCGAGGGAAATTCTAGCATGAGCAGCCATCCAACCTTCTTTCCCTCTCTTACAATACACATTTTCAAATCAGTACTGATTTGCCGCAGTCCCACGATGTCTTTGCAGGGAATTTTCAGCGTCAGCTTTTTCTTAATAAATGGCTTAAAAGTGGCTTTACTCTTCCCAATTGTAGCAACTTTCGCTTCTGCATCTGACCCACCTTGTAGAGCAAGCTCCTCCATCATCGACCATGATGACACCTCATTGTCCATTGGGTAGATCTTTGCAGCTGAGCAAAAGCATCTAACATTTGTTTGTGCAATCCTTTTTTGTTTGCCCCTCCAATCATTTAAGAGATACGCCTTCCAACTCTTGCCGATGCCTTAAAAACTTACTTGAACATTTGTACATTGGTCTAAATCCTTTCAGATATATGCCCTCAACGTGCACAAATTAAAATCGTGGAGGGAAGGCGGATCCTCGATTGGCTAGCACAGAGTTCAGACCATCTACATAGAATATTTGCTTACAATAGGAGCACACTTTCAACTAAATCAGCTAATTTTCTCCTTTGGTGCATAGCCTCTATGACAAGAAACCTACCACCTCACTTAATTTCTAATCAGGATTTGTTTTTAGAACGGTAAAAAATAAATAGGGAGTAATTTGCACCTAAAGCATTTTAGCCGCTGAACTGATATTGAAGTGGACAGTCACGGAAAATGTACGTTTGAGTGGCAACAATCTGATTTTCAGTGTTAAAAGCAATTTCAACTCTGAATGAATTACGTGCGACAACCTTGTTGAGGCGAAATTTTGCTAGAATCAAATTATCAGAGTTAGGCAAAATATTCAAAGCCCAATATGTACAAGGACCACAATTGATACGATTTACTGCTGGTTTTGGAGAAATCTAAACATTGATCGTGGTGTCTTGATAACAAAATTTCGGGTTTAGCTTAATATTAAAGTTATATATTATCTAGCATTCGCTTGATCAACTATTAAAGCCTTCTTTTTCCTGCCCTGGTTCTCATACCATGCTTGTAGTCATGCATTACTTATGGGCAGGGGCAAAAAGATTGTCTGAATATTGCTTACGAAAAAAGATCATACGTTACCTTCCTTTGTCGCTGCACTATTGGCATTACAAAAATCGTCATGTGGAGTAGTGTCAAATGTAACAGCAAAACACTGTTCACGCGAGACCTGTTTCCTCGCGATTACTTTGATTTTCGATTTGCCCTCGTACGCGTAGACTGGTCTTTGAGCCAAGTCCATGTCCCGCCCTACTTATTTTCCTAAAATACAAGCATGCGGCCCAACTTACTGCCTTCTTATACTTAGTGGGAAATCCCAGGGTGCTACACTAGTGGCAGCGCAAAGCGAGCCTTATTTTTCACTATTTCTATTCTTGTAACCACCTTTTATGGCTTATATCAACAATGCAAAGGAGGCGCATGCACATGAAACAGAAGATTCTCTGAATCTATCACAACAGACAGGTTGAGAATAATGCCTGTCTGTCCATTTTCTCCCCTTATTCCACAGGCAAAATATCAACAACTGATGGAACATCGCCGCGAACCATCTGAAAGCTTCGCATCGATTTCCTACCTACCACACCCGCGTATACGTTTTGGAAATGGCGCTACGGATCTCCTTGCATACGAGGCCATGGCTGATGCCGTTTTCCTTGTTTACATCTGTTTTGGACCAGTGGCCCAAAGTCTAGTACTGCGAGAACGTTAATGGTCTACAGATGTATACGGCTCTGATTCCGGCTGTCAGACCGAACCCAACTTCACATCCAGTTGCGGGTGCTGAGGGGACCAAATACCGCTCGTGAGTCTCATGGTCGCTGATGATTGGCCTGTCTAGCTGGTGAGCGTCACCTTGCAGCACTGGATATGTTATGAGGGCTAGTGCGGGAGGTGTGCCAAGGAAAGCGTCAATAAAGTCTCTCAAAAGAAGGGAGCGAGTGTGGGCACTTTATATTCTTCTACTTTTAAAATATATGTACTCGAACAACGCAATGCCTTTGCGAGTTAAAAATATTGGAGCCCTACAGTAGCCATATTATTTACATGCAGCTTACTTAATTCCGAGGGAAGGTGGAGTTAAACGTCTTATAGAATCAACTTAGCAATTATCGCTAAGCAAAAATGTAATGTTTCAAAGCCATGCAGCAACTGTTCATTCAGAGCACTGTATTGCGTAAAGAGATTAAAAAGATTAGCTGCCGTTGCATAAAGTGTTCAAAAAATAGTATTTCAACTGAAATTTATTTAAAAGCTACGATGTGGCATCATGCAAGGGGTTGATGTTGTTATGATAAAACTAAATGGGACTAGAATTACCTCACGAATGTCAGCATGAAATAAGACAAGTAGAACCTAAGATAAAGGACGAAAATGGTTTGTGTTTAATTAAGCTTAAATATTAAAAATCCACCGTTTTATTTATTAATGCTACTGCGACCTTGAAATCAGTTCAACATGCTGCGCGATAGCATGACTTGTACTGAAAACAGCTGTTTGCATGTAGATGTAAAAAATAACGACATAGACGGCCTTCTAAAAAATTTATCGACGGGTACGTGTGCATCTTATGACATTTTCTAAAGGTGCGAACGTAAATCGTCAGAACTATCAGGGCGACACACCCTTGATGATAGCGTGCAATCTGAGAGACACAAAATGCGCAAAACTCTTGATTTCCTACGGTGCTGATGCTGATAAGTAAGAAACAATGGCTAATAAGAGAAAGAACTAACAAATTCGGCCGTTCGGCTTTACATATTGCAGCTTATAGTGGAAATTTGGAAATATTTACCTTATTGTTAAGCAATGGAGCCAAGCACGACAGACGCGATTGTACTGGAAAAACACCGTTTGATGTACTTCTCGACAAAATTCCAAGGTCCTACATTAAATCTTACTTTAAGAAAGCTCAAGTTTCCTCGCATTTGAAGAAAAAACTTAAAGACTTTAAAAACAACCCGCAGATCATGGAGACCTGGCAGAAGCAGCAAGATGAATTGAACCTAAGGAACCGTTTGCAACAGTTTGTGCATAAAAGAGGTAAAAGTGAATTGGTAAGCAGCGTTTTGACTATCAGCACAGTAGAATTTTAATGAACCGTCAACCAGTTTACCCATCGTAACACTAAGCGAATTGCAGGAAGCGAGTGAATTACCATTTGGATCTTCCAAGAACCAAATTTTTACCACAAAAAAGTATGCCATCGATCACAATTAAAATCCTTAAGCATGATATGGAATCAAACGCCAGTGTCGGTTCGCAGTGTTTTGAATGAATTATCGGGTCAATTTTCTCAAAATCTAAATTTATTTGAGCGCTCTTTGCATAGTGCCCAGAGAGAGATTCTGTGGCTAAGGTAAGGGTATTTCAGCTATATTAATGATTATGTGTCAAAACAATTATTATTCTCGGTTTAGTCGGCTTCGACATCCCAATATCATTTTGCTGCTTGGTGTCACACGTCCAATGTCGGATCTTGAAGTCCCCAGCCTAGTTTTTGAACGAATTCAGATGGGGTGCTTACATACCATGATTTTAAAAGAGGTACGTGGTCCAGTAATGTACTTGGGCTAACATTGCAACTTTGCTTTGCGAAAATGTTATATCAGTAGAACGCTTGCAATTTTATAGTTCCTATGTTATGTGTGAACTCCATTTAAAACAAACTGGTCGTTGTGTACCGTAACAGTCAATTCTAATTATACGATCGCGTAAAATGTATCGCTCATGAAACGAGTGTGGAAATTTTGATTTCTCGCTGATACTGATAACAAAAGGCATGAGGCTTAAGTGTTTTAAGTGACTATATATTTCGTTTTTATTCTCTGGAAGAAAGAGAACAAGCCTTATTCTGCATAACGCAGAAATCTTATGCATTGATATGGGTTGGACAAACCATCATGGAGCTCAGCTAGTCACCGCTCTTACTGCTAAATGTTGCTTTCAGCACAACAGACTGAGCCTTTTGGACCGTCTAACAGTGCTTCGGCAGATCATCGAGGCTCTTATTTATCTAAAAAATCTTGGCATTGTTCACACCACAGTAAGCTCTCACTCCATCTACCTAGCGGATTTGTACCATTCAAAGCTGGCACATTTCGAGCACGCGCTACACTGGCAGTACGTTCTCCCTTTTGTTTCATATCCACATGACTTAAATTAAGTGAAAATATACAATCGCCTCCACCCCATACTAATTTGATATCACCACAGACTATCAAGCCTTCTTTTGCCTTATTTGTACGTTATGATTTGTCATAGGAGCTGATTTAAATATTGTTCAGTTTTGCGACCAATTGGATGTTTTCAGTTAGCAATAACATCAGATGGTAATTTGTTCGTGGTTTGAATCATAGACCAAGGACTGGAATCTCATTTTAAGAGCTATTTCTTCTTTCAGTGAGTGGTGTGAGGAAGGTAGAAGGAAGTCATCACGGATGAGACTATCAGAGGAGGAGATCAAACATCTTGGAGCCTGGTTGGCTCCAGAGGTTGTGCTACTCAATCAATCACCAGAAATTGAGCTGGAAAGCAAAGCTCAGACCATGTCGCTTAATGCCCATCACAGTACCATCGGCAGTGGTAGCAGTGGCAAATATTGCATGCTTACTCCTGCGACGGATACTTTCGGCGTAGCCAGAGTAATGCAAGAGCTATTCGAGCCATGCTGTGCCCATCGATTTCGCAGATCAGCTCCTGCAACCAGTAAAGAGAAGTTGGTGGAGATTTTGGAGGAGGCAGGAGAAAAAAATTTGCATTTTTATTTGCGACCTGTGATCAAAAAGGCCCTTCGAGGCGAGTATACAGCAAGGGGAGAAGTCGAAGATCTTCATATTGCTGTTGAGCTGGCATTCCGAGTAAGAGTCCTGGTTTTGCAGACCTTTCTAGTAGATTTTAGTAAAGTCCTTTTTATCACTTTATATATTTTTATTCAATGCAAGTTGGTGGCTGCGATTTTAACCTTGAAGTCATCAAACAATAATCCAAGAGAGGCAATTACGACCTTATTTAACCCTAGGGTACTATGTATGGCCTCTAAAATGTTGAATAGACTGAGCTTATATCTCGAACCTCTAATTGGTATACGAGTAAGTGTGAAAAAGAACGCATGTTCAGGGGCAAATGCTGCCGATACTCTTAGCGGTGCACATAGGCATACAAAGGACCCACACTGTACGAGAATCGAAGTTGGTTTAATCGCAAATATAGTAATAAAAATGAAATCTGCAATGCAGGATTTCAAAGAGTCATTTCGGCAGATCATTTTAACTGGGTCACTGACCCACTAAAGCGTGGGATTGTGAATAAAAGAAATCGATTTATCGACTTCTCATAATGAGGATCCGCCACGTGCTGCATAGGAGAAAAATCTATTATTATTATTTTAAAGCTTCTCATTATTGTAACTTTTTTCCTACATTAAAAATCTTTATAGTACATAAACCTGTAAGAAATAGCCTGTAAAGGAAATAATGAAGAAAATAGCGCCTATATATTTGGTCTTCATAGGACCTTCTTGATAAAAGGAATTCCTTGCAACTTCAAGGACGGATTAATGCTATGCATTGGTGTGAATGTGATTCAGTCTACACCAACACTGTTATCACCTCACCTTTCAAGGATTCAAAATCAGAGGAAGGCCTGTTTGATCCAGCAAAGCGAGTAAGTCAACTAACCATGCTATTCATCTTTTAATGTTCAACACGAGAGCAAAGGAACTATTGTTCCAACATCGTATTCTGTATGATTAGTACAAAATTTTGTGCGTTTTAGTTGTCAGAAAGTGAGAAAGAGAACCAAAGCAAGAATGTACAGGAAAGGGAGAACTTACACCTCACTTTCAATTCGTGGAGATCAAGGCGGTAAGTTTGCATAAATGAATTTTTGCACATAATCACCTTTGCTGAGCATATGACATTCAACATCTTTTTTATCTTGTAGCCAAAGAACCCTCAAAAAAAATCCAGCGGTTGATTGTAATTTAAGCATAAAAACTATATTAAAGCAATCCTGTTCTAGGAATGAGCCCAATTCTTCAGGTAAAAATTGCTATATTTTTATTGCAAATACTTAATTTGACCAAAACCTAAGGGTGAAAGGTGGTTATGGCGTAGGAACAAAGGGAAATTGCATGTTGCTTAGTAAATAAAAAGTGGCATGAACCTTTTCTTGTAACTAGTCTAACATCACCAGTTCATCTGAGTTGGCAAGTGCACAATGACCTAAGAACTTTGACATGTGGAAGAGGATTGGATCTTCTTTTATGCATGGTAATGTTTTGCCAAAAACCGTAATAACTGCAATAAAAGGGACTTTGTACTCACATGATCTAGTTTCCTTAAGCATAAATACAAGATTCGGTAAAAATTTATCTTTGCAGCTCTTTTCAAAAGAACACAAAATTTGATAAATCACTTTGGCAATCCGAACAATACGGTTACGCCTGAAAGATCGAGACTGCCGAATTTTAGTAGTCCGATTTCCATAAAGCAGCAAACAAAATTAGGGGAAAAGAAGGTCCTTAAGGGCCAAGTGATGAGTCTCACAAGGGAGCAATACATCGAAATGGTCGCAATCCCTTGTAACCCACTGGGTCCAGGCAGATCGCGGCCTCTCGTACAATGGCGAAGCCCTTCAGCTCCAACTCACCTTCCCTACTCTCTCGATTCTTCCTTCAACACCTCTTCTTCATCATCAAATCTGACGTGCAAATCAGATTCCTTCACTCAATGTTCTCTTGTCGACAGAGTGGGAAACTGGATTAAGATTGTCAGCAGAGGCTATGGCGAATCACCAAAGCACAGTAAATCCCAACCGACTTCAAAGTGCGTGTGATTAACCCTTTTAAAGCTATTTTGGAGGGCGAGAAAATTGGCTTATGCAAAAGATTATTTGTTTAATTATATATTGCTACTGGAAAAATTCAGTAGATCGATTGTTTGACTTTATAAATATTTAGGAAAACTCCGATTAAGCCGGCCTCACATTCAACTACCCTTCCGATGCTATCAAGTCCGATATTTGAAAAAGTAAGAGTGGGGTCGCAAGAATCTTTCTCTTTGGAAAAGTCGCTCTCTAGAACAAGCAGTTCGTGGAGTAAGAAATATGTGGCATGTCAGAATTTATTGCCTGACGCAATCCATTCATCTCCATCGCAAACTCAAACATCCTCTGCTATGAAGTCTCATTATGAGGTAAAGTTAAACTTTAAATCATAATATTTATGCTTTGAAAGTGCTAGTGTGAAAGCATTTGCAATTTAGCTAAAGCGTATGATGCAAATTTAGCATGTCGCTTATGAAAATCATCATAGCAACTTCTAGAATTTTTCATGAGCTACATTTTGCTCCAAAACCCTTCTTCTACAGAGAAATGTTGCAACGCAGAAATCAGTAATATGTTACTGAATTGGTACAGGCTAGATAATATTTGGTCTTCCAGCTGAGTAAGGGAAGCATTGGGCACATTTTGCAGCAGTGGTTTTTCATAGATAATTTTGGCATGCGTTTGGGTTTCAGTTTCACCACCAATATTGAAGTGAGACAAGATAGGAGTACGCCTTTACGGATGGTTGATCTGCTGTACGTAACTACATATGTAGTGATGGAGAGGATTTAAATTTAAACGGATTGAACTCTTCTTAATATGGGACCTGAAAGTGGCTTGCCAAAACTTTACCCTATATTGTTGATTTTGATTTTAGGGAACTTCAAAAAAAGTTACCACCAACTTTGAAAACAAGAGCAAGGAGAAACCAGCAAGTCAAATTTTCACACCTCTCTCAACATCTTTCCTGACATTGGGTCGAGAGACGTCTCTGCCAGAGCAGTACTTATCTAGTGCAGGAATAAAGTGCGCAAAGGTTTGTCAAGAGGCGCAGGACGTTACGGCATCTAATGCGATAGGGAGTGCTGAGCGACGTATTGACGGCACATGTTTCTGAGACGCGAGTGAGCACTCCATTTAATTTCGTTAGATTTATTTGCTGATCGAGTAATGTGTCATGATTTTTGGGGGGAAAGCAGCCATTAGTTGCAATAACAAGTCCCGACTATTATTCATTTATTTTGTTAAACATTTTACCGTTACTGAGAATAATCGACCTCAAAGAGGGCGCAGCAAAAGTGTTTATATTTATTTAGTATTTTGAGTGTACAATCTACACAACATTAAGAGAAACAAGGAGGAAAGTTGTCGTAGTAAGTAGCAAAATTTTTAGGGGTGCAACAATTTAATTAGGGCATGCGGTTACAAAATGCCACTTTGTGCAAATAGTAGTGAGACGAGTTTAACCACCCTTCGAAATCAGTTGTCAAGGCCCCAAACATTTAGGGTTCAGTTGCGTATCGTCCACCTCTAATCACACCGGATATAACCTCCTAAATGGAGGTTAGTTTGGAAAGCCGTAGCAAGTTCGACTGGATATTTAATAAGCACCTCACATGAGTCATAGAGAAAGCAAAATCACTCAGCATATCATTTTACTTACCATAGCAGTGTTTCCTTCCCTTTCAGGAGAGGCGGAGAAGAAGACTAAGTTGAGAACATGTCTCATCGTTCTGCATTTTTTTACTTGTACCGTGTTGTTATTTTTTTAGAAATAGAAGTTATCAATCCTCTGTTCCCAGGCCTAAATGGATGTCTAAGAAAC